CAGAAAGTGCTTTGTGTTAAGTTCTTCAGAAACTATTTCGCGTTTTTCGAAAACTATTTCGCGCTCTTCAGAAACTACTTCGCGCTCTTTAGACACTTTTCCCCATTCTTCAGAAACTGTTCCCCATTCTTCAGAAATTATTCCCCATTCTTCAGAAACTATTCCCCACTCTTCAGAAACTGTTTTGCATGCTTCAGAAAGTATTCTCAAGACTCAAGAAGCTCCATATTGCACCCAGGTTACATGAATGGAGCATGGGGTGTCAGGGTGGGTGGTTGCGCGGACCTATTGACGGCTACGGTACACGCCTAGCATTCTCCAGAAACATTTTGCCCACTTTAAGAAGAAAGCCCCGAAGAGTAGTTTCCGACGAAAACCGTCTAATTACCGAAGATATGTCTCCAAAGAAACCGCGGACTTACTGAACATCACCTTTTAGTTTCCAAAGATTAGTTGAAAAAGAATAGTTTCTGAAGAAAACCGTCTAGTTGCCGAAGATTAGTTTCCGAAGAAAGCTGTTACTGAAGATTAGTCTCCGAATAAACCGTGGAGTTACCGAAGATCCCCTTTTAGTTTCCGAATAACACTTTGTTCAATCGCTTTGTTTGGACATTCCAACGGCACAAACCAGTGGTAGTCCTGCGCCAGCAAGCTTCCACTTGCTTCGTGTAGATTCAGTGTAGATCGTCTCGCGTGGTGGAAGAAAATGAGCGGGTTGTGCAAATTTAAGGTCTTGGCCCTGGCCAAGGCCCCTGCAATCAATCCCGGGGCCAAATACAATTGCCCGACTCGGTTGGCAGCTGATGCTTTCAGGAATCCTGCTAAAGAAACAATTGTCCGTCTTTTTTGCTTGGCCTCTAAATGTTCGTTAGTGTACCATCTCATGTAGGCCACTTCTTTGTGCAGCTGGCACTACTTGCAGGACCAACCATTGAACGTCACCACCTCGTTGGAAGCGTGGGCCTCGGATGTTCCGAAGGGAAACCTCAAGCCTTGCTTTTGTCCGCGGTATTTCTTGAGGCCCATTGCCGAGTTGTTTCACAGACTCATCAGGCTGAAGCGGCTCAAGTCTGACGTGGCTAGTGAACATGGAATGAACAAAGAAAAAAACGACATCAAAGAGTGAAGATGAGGGCCCTTTAAACTTTAAAGGGCTTTTCAAATGGGCCTTACCTCTTTAACTCCGGCGGTCTGCGGGTAGAGCTGTCTCCGGATTACGTTGCTGAGGCGTTCATCATCCGCAACCGTTCGTATGATCGCTTTGCAGGAGGTCTTATGTGTCATGCGTAGCAGCTTGACTTTCCAAGCGTGGCATATGATTGCGCAGGTGCAGCGTTTCGCGAGGTCGACAGGGTGCATCGCTGTGCCATTGGATTAGCGTTTCCAGGGTGGTCTTGCGTATTGAATGTATGCCGCGCCAGAAGGATTTGCTCTCGAAGGTTTGCCTGACAAACCCCACTCAAACTTGCAATCTTGAGGGAGGTGAGAAATCTGTGGGGTGTGGCGCAGATTTTGCTCGACATTCAAGGTGTCGCGCAGTCATTTTTGTGCATTTTGGAGGGGTTGGGGGCCACTTTTCCTGGCAAGCGCGTTGCAGTTTCAGCGGGCAGGCACTTAAACTGCCTGGCACGGCTGCTTTGTGAGTGCTCTGATGAGGCTTCCCGCCCGACTTTTGGAGGACGTCTCACACGAAGTGCTCGTTTTGGAGATTTGACGCGCGAGTCTTGGAGAATGTCTAGCCCAAAGTGCTCGTTTTGGAGACTTGACAGAAATGCTCGTTGAGGAGACTTCCTGTCGCACTTTTGGAGGTCTCACAATTGGCTTGCATAGCGCAATGTATAGGGCAAGGAGAGTGTCAAGCAAGAGTGCAGCAAGATCTTAGAGTGTGTCAAGCAATCATTTGATCATGTCTTGCTGCAAAGACTCCTGTGATTGGAGGCCTCAGAGCGGACCCAACAGGCCCAAGCACTTGGTGCCCAGATCGACAGGCCCGGACCTGAGCAGCGTGTGACTCGTGACCGTCGTGACCCAATACGGTTCAGTACAATACAACAAACGAGTTAGATTCATGCTGCACGTTTTTCCATTTTCCCCCAGATAGCTCCAGGCTATAGGGGATTCAACTTCTCAATGGTGCTGGCTCTGGATCGGCGTTTTGGTTTTGCAGGTGCTGCTGGCGTGTTGATGCTGGTGCTGGATCGCCGTCTTTTTTTGCTGGTGCTGGTGCTGTGTTGGTGCTGGCGCAGGCGATGGCTCTGGATCGGCGTTTCGTTTTGCGGGTGCTGCGGCCGTGCTAGTGCTGGTGCTGGTGCTTTCGTTTTGCGGGTGCTGCTGCCGTGCTGGTGCTGGCGCTGCATGGCTCTGGATCGGCGTTTCGTTTTGCGGGTGCTGCCGCCGTGCTGGTGATGGATCGGCGTTTTGTTTGGCCGGTGCTGGAGGCACTGGCTCTGGATCAGCATTTCCTTTTGCGTCACGCCAGGGATGTTATCATGTCATGCCAGGGATGACATCAGGTCATGCCAGGGATGACATCATGGACATCGTGTTATGCCCAGAAAAGGTGTTACGCCATGAATGACATAATTGCGCCAGGGATGATCTCAAGTCATGCCAGGGATGATATCATGTCACGCCAGGGATGATATCATGTCGTGCCCACACTGATATGATGTCATGCCCAGGGATGGCATCATGTCATGCCAGGTGACATCATATCACGCCAGGGATGATACGATGTCATGCCAGGGATGACATCATGTCACGCCAGAGATGACGTCATGTCACGCCCAGAAAGACATCATTGTCATGCCAGGGGTGACATGCTGCGTATTGTGCGTGACACCGTGTTACGTGTGGGCAGCTTTGGCTGGTCCTTGCCGATCTTACAGCTTTACGTTTGTGTTGGGCAAAGCGGGCGCATTCAGCTGATAGATGTTGCGCATATTGGTGGACTGGTCTGATGTTGCGTGCTGCGGTGACAGCCGTCCGTGGCGTGTCCTTTAAACCTATACACCCGCTATCTAGGGTCTATGCCGGTGTAATCCTCAGCAAAGAAAAGTGTTTGGCAAAGTTGTTTTTTTTGGCCTGCTTTGGCTCGCAAAGACCACCTGTACTGGCAACGAAGGCACCGCCGGGGCCGAATGGAGCTTGTGTTTCGTCATGTTGTTCGGTGTCTGGGATTGGCCCGGCTAGGCACACATGAAGGAGGCGAAGAGCAAACGAAAGGATAGAGGCAAGCGACAACAAGAAAAACGCAAGACATGGAAAGAGAACAACAAGGAAGCCAACGAAGGGTTGTTGACATCGTGACTGGAACAAGAAACCGCCGCAAAACACAGTGAACTTGGCCCAATCTCTAACAGTTCATTGGATTGCTTTTAAAGGCCTTGGCAGAGTTTCTTGCTTCTATGAGAGCCAGGCCCCAATTGCAATTAGTCGCCTGGAAACCCGAAACGTGGGAACTCTGGAACCAGAATTTGACAGTGCTTCCCTGTCTGGAAGTTTGGAACCTTGTGTTGCAGTCGGGATCTGGTTGGTAGTTGTAAGAGATCGAGCGACCGCAATATTTACTGTATATATGGGTACGTCTTGTGGATTTTTGTAAAGAATGCTATCTGGGGTCGGTGTTTACATTTTCTTCGCAAGGGCTGTGTGTAGCCAAGGCCCCTCAACCAAGTTTGTGCGCCCAAGTAGGGAGAACGCCCCCAATAAAACATTAACACTGCTGTACTTTAAGTCAATTCAATATGTATACCTTTTCAGACGCCGCCGCCTACAAAAATATTCAGCGGGCGTCAGACTATCATCTTTGTCCGCAAAAGCTCTTCAACATGTCAAACCCTGAGCATCGCTTTTTGATTAGAATCAATCTGCGGCTATGTGTTTTTGATTGATTTTCCCAAAATCATGGAAAATCAATCAAGAAAATATGACCTTTTCCCGGCCAAGGTTTTGAGTAAAATATTGATTTGGTTTTTGAGCTTTCTATTGATTTTAATTGTGATGTTCTGACTGATTTGTTTGTGTAGTTTTGCTCAAGGATTTTGCAATATACATAGAAAGTTTCAAGATACTGTTTTGGCTTTGGGAAAGGCCACAGGTCATGGCCACCAAAGCAGAACAAGAAGATGGCTTTGGAAAAGGCCATGGCAGAGGAGGAGCCAGACACTTTGCAAAACCCTATGTTGACAGTGGTTTGGTCTACAAGGTGCTGAGTGAACACCAGGAGACCTTGCATAACTTAGGCCCTTATGAGCATTGCAGCAGGGCAAATGCACCCGATCCAAAAGGACTGGTCAAGACCTTGCCACTATGGAAGGGGCTTCTGAGGCTGGAAAGCTCAGGGGAAATACATGCCCGACCAATGCGCACAGCTTTGATAAGCTTATTGGCTGATGCACCAGAGTTGAATAGTACAAAGTACTCAGGACAAGTGTGGGTGAACTTGAAGCTGGAGAGGATCAACGCCATCCTGTACCACGTCAGGAAGCTGGGGAGGGAAAGCTTGACAGCAGCTGCAGCAAAGTTGACAAGGGAGGAATACACACAGCTGCAGCAGGGTCTGAAGCTGTTGGATTGTGGTGCTTTGGAAAAGGCACATGTTTTGGAAAAGGCATCTGCTTTGGAAAAGGCAAGAAAGAAGACACCAGCAGAAGAATGTACTGCCATGTTGCCTTTTGAAGGGCATTTGAGTGGAAAGACATGCCTCAAGAAAAATGATAGTGATGCCACCATGGACAGCCAAGGGTCCCCAGAATGTTTGGGGAAAGCCCAGCAAAGGCATCTCCAAACCCCAGCCATGAGCCACCTGCTGCACCAACCTTTACCAGGAGAAGGGCTGGGTCCAAGGCAACACCTTTGGAAAAGGGTGAGCTGCATGAGGCCCTGGGGTTTGGTGCTATGAAGAAGCCTGCAGCTGCTTTGGGAAAGGCGAAGAAAGAAGATGGCAAGCCTGCTTTGGAAAAGGTAAAGGAAAAGAAGCTAGTTGGCATATTGAAGAACAAGAAGGCAACATCTTCTTTGGAAGAGGAAGTGAGAAAGCCTTGGCTGAAGATTAGAAAAAAGCATATTTGACAGGGACAACAGAGAAAGATGGAAAACTGAAGCTTATTGTTGAAGTGACTGCAAAGAGGTGCCTACACTTTAGCAAGGTCATCGATGAAATTTGGACATGATTGGAAAAGGATAATTTGACAAAGGCAGAAGCCCTAGCTTTGAAAGAAAAGTTGTGCAAGGAAAGGGGGTGCTAGGCCACTATAGCATCTGCTTTGGAAAAGGCATGGGCTTTGGGAAAGGCCTTGGCATTGGCTTTGGAAAAGGCTCCTAGCATGGCAAATCCTAAAAGGGGATTAGCCAAAGACACTGCAAGTGGTTTGATGAGAAAACTATGTGTGAGTGGGTGGTAAGGGGTCATTGTGAAAGTTGGTCAACAAAGAACAAAAAAGTTTTGCATGTGTTTATAAAAAAGAAGGAGGTCCATACAATATAATAAAATAATACTTTTAATCAACTAACTTCCAGTTACTGTATATGTTATATACATATCTGCTTTCAATGTAATGATACTATCATCATTATATGTCCTAATGTGTGTATATGTATATATATTCTTTATATATTATATGTATATATGGCTAGTCAAGTGGACACTTTGGAAAAGGTGTTCAGAAACATGCATGTTGTCACCCTGCAGCTGTTTTCAGCTTAGGGCTAGGTTACAACATGCATGGATGCGCCACACACTCACAGCCAGTCAGGGCAACACACACACACAGCCAGTCAGGGCAGCACACACACACAGCCAGTCAGGGCAGCGCACACACACACACTGCTACTACAGCACACGCACATTTCACTGACAACTTCACACAGCACTAGAGCCTAGTGTAGTTGCAGTTGTAGCTTGGGTTTGGAAAAGCCCAGGGTTTGGAAAAGCCAAGGGTTTGGAAAAGCCCTGAAGCCATGTGGGGCTGGCCTGTGAACGGGTATGGCTGTTATGGCTACAACTGCAAAATGAGGGATGAGAAGGCAAAAGCAATGGGAGTACCTGACCCTGAAGAGGACCTGGAGCAGCACCTGGAGGCTTTGGAAAAAGCCAAGGCAAAGGCAGAAAAGAAGCTGAAGGAGCTGAAGCAGAAGAAGCAAGAGGAGGAGGAGGAGGAGGAAAGCTACTACAGCTGCTCTGCCTCAAGCTCCAGGTCCAGGTCAAAGAGCTCCAAGAAGTCCAAGGCCCCAAGGAAGAGGCCTGCAACTTTGGAAAAGGTTGCAGAAGACAATGAAGCTGCAGCTTTGGAAAAGGTTGTGGAAAAGGCAGAAGCAACTTTGGAAAAGGTTGTTTCTGTCAGGAGGACCAGGAGGGCCAAGATGGCAAGGCAGAGGAGCTGGTTGAAGAGCTGGTGGTCGAGGGGCGTCGAGGGGCAGCCCACCAAGACTCCAGCTGTCCTTGGGAAAGGGTGCCAAGGAGGAACCTCCTTTGGAAAAGGGAGATGCTGCCAAGGTCAAGGAGGAGCCTCCTTTGGAAAAGGGAGATGCTGCCAAGCTGAAGCCTCCTTTGGAAAAGGGAGATGATGCCAAGCCTCCTTTCAAAAAGGGAAAGGGTCAGGGAGATGAAATGGAGATTTCATCTGTGAAGCCTGCTTTGGAAAAGGCACCCAGGGTTGTGCTGCAGGCCAGAAGGCCAATCATTGTCATTGATTGGCGCAACACCCTTGAGAAGAACAATGTGGTGACTGCAGCAGCTTTGACTGGGCTGGAGCAGCTGTTGGACCATTGCACAGTCCACATACTGAGCTTTGTCCAGACTTGGTCAAGACAACAAGCGGTGTATTGGGACACCCAGCAAATGCTGCCATCCCAAGTCTACAGGAGGCTGGCAGGCATCCACACCTGCTGGCAAAGGACTGGCCAGGAAGGAAAGTTGGAGTGGGTCAAGTACCTGGGTGGGGAGTGCATCTTTGATGATGCCCCAGAGATCATTGATGAGTGCAGA